TTTTTTTAAAAAAAACTGTGTCTGATGAGGCGCGCTTAAGTGCGGTTATGGGCGCTTAAGCGCGCTCATCGAATTGGACTTTTCTACGTGGGAAACGCGCTTAAGCCTCATGCCTTGCGCTTAAGCGCGCTGAGGCAGAGGCAAATGGCTTGTTTTCCTTTTCCATTGCGCTTAAGCTTCCTCTCTTGCGCTTAAGCGCAGGGAGGCAGTGAGTTATGACCAATTTTCTTTAATTAGCGCGCTTAAGCCCCATTTTGGGTGCTTAAGCGTGCTCTGAGAATGGAACTTTTCAACGTGGAGCACGCTTAAGCGCGATCCAGCGCGCTAAGGCCGAGAGAAATTATGATTTATGGGGCTTAAGCCTCCCCTTGGGACTTAAGCCCTCTATACTTAGCAACTTTTCCCTATTTTTTCCTGGTATGCTTGTTTAACTCTGAAGATACCTCTTATGCTCTATGATTCCTTTACACACAGAACATATAATTTAATAAGAATCGCGTACCTGGGTATGCTTTATTCCCACTTTCACCTGAAAATTTATCTCAATATAGATTGATCATCAATTATCAATCTCAATTAAAGAGCTAATCATTAAACTTTCCTAAACTTAAAAAAATTAAAACTGAAAACATAAAAACGGAAAACTTAAATGTACTGAAAAACATAAATACTGAAAACTTAAAGATTGAAAACTTAAATGTTATTGGGTTGCCTCCCACAAGCGCTTGTTTTACGTAACGAGCTTGACGTACCTCTTTTACGTTTCTGCAGGAGCAACAGTGGCCGTTCCCCTATCAATTTCACCTCCAAGGTATGGTTTCAATCGCTTCCCATTCACTTTGAAGCTTCTGTCGGAATCAAGTGGACTAATTTCCACTGTAGCATATGGACGTATTTCTTTCACCAAAAACGGTCCTGACCATCTAGACTTGAGCTTTCTCGGGAAGAGTCTCAACCGGGAATTGTATAGCAGAACTTGTTGTCCAACCTTGAAGTCTCTGCCTAATATTTTTATGTCATGCCACTTCTTGGTTTTCTCTTTGTAGAGGCTTGCACTCTCATAAGCGGACAATCTGAATTCGTCTAACTCATCTAGTTGTAACAATCTCTTTTCACTTGCCGCTTTTGTATCAAAGTATAAGAACTTGACAGCCCACAAAGCCTTGTGTTCCATCTCCACCAGCAAGTGACAAGCTTTTCCGAATAACATGTGAAACAGTGACATTCCTATTGGTGTCTTGAACGATGTCCGGTATGCCCGTAGTGCATCATCTAGCTTGCGTGCCCAGTCTTTCCGAGAACTTCCCATTGTTTTCTCAAGGATACGCTCCAGTTCCCGGTTTGATATCTTCATTTGCCCACTAGTTTGTGGATGATATGGTGTGGCAATGCGGTGTCTGACGCTGTACTTTGCAAGAACATATTCAACTTACTTGTTGCAGAAGTTTGTCCCTCCGTCATTGATCATTGCTCTCGGAACTCCATACCTCACGAAAATGTTCTTCTTGATGAAGGTGATCACGACTCTATAATCATTGGTAGGCAAAGCAGCTGCTTCCACCCACTTAGTACTGCGACCAAGATATATTTATTCCCGTATGAAGTGGGAAAAGGACCCATGAAGTCTATGCCCCAAACATCAAAGATTTCAACTTCCATAATATTGTTCAGTGGCATCTCATGTCTCCTTGATATGTTTCCCGTTCTTTGGCAGTGGTCACAAGACTCTACAAACTTTCTTGCATCCTTATAAAGTGTAGGCCAATAGAATCCACTCATTAGGACCTTAGCAGCTGTCCTTTCTCCTGCGAAGTGGCCTCCATAATCTGAACCGTGACAGTGCCATAGGACATCTTGCATCTCTTGTTCCGGAATGCACCTTCTAATGACTCCTTCAGAACATGTATAGAACAAGAAAGGTTCATTCCACAAGTATCTCTTCACATCATGCATAAACTTTTTCCGTTGTTGCCATGAAAACTCCTTAGGAATTGTTCCAGCCGCTTTGAAATTTGCGAAGTCTGCAAACCATGGTGGAGTGTCAATTGCAAGAGCTTACTCCTTCAGAAACCATGGCAATATGCTGACTGAGAGGACTTGTTCATCCGAAAACTCATCTTTAATTATCAATTCTGAACTGTCTTGAAGTTCTTTCTCTTGAAGTCTAGAAAGATGATCTGCTACTCGGTTCTCTACTTCCTTTTTGTCTCTGATTTCTAACTCAAACTCTTAAAGTAGAAGCATCCACCTGAGTAGTCTCGGCTTAGCATCGTGTTTAGTCAAGAAGTATTTCAAGGCAGCATGATTAGTGTACACAATAACTTTAGATCCTAAGAAGTAAGGTCTAAATTTATCAAAAGCATATATAACAACTAGCAATTCTTTTTTAGTAGTAGTGTAATTCATTTGTGCTTCATTCAGAATTTTACTAGCATAATATATAACATGCAATAATTTATCTTTTCTTTGACCTAAGACTGCACCTATAGCATAATCACTAGCATCACACATTAATTCAAAAGGCAATTCAAAATTAGGTGAAGTGATAATAGGTGTTGTGGTCAATTTTTCTTTTAAAAGATTAAAAGAGATCAAACACTCGTTGTCGAAGTTGAACTCTTCTTCTTTGGCTAAGAGCTTGCATAGAGGCTTGGCTATCTTCGAGAAATCTTTGATGAAGCGCCGATAAAAACCTGCATGTCCAAGAAAACTACGTACACCACGCACATTAGAGGGAGGGGGAAGTTTTTCTATTAATGAAATTTTTGCTCTATCTACTTCAATCCCTTTCTCAGAGATCTTATTGCCTAAGACTATTCCATCTCTTACCATAAAGTGACATTTTTCCCAGTTGAGTACTAAATTACTCTCTTGGCATCTCTGCAAAACACAAGCTAAGTTAGTCAAGCAAATATCAAAAGATGAACCGAAGACAGAAAAATCATCCATAAATATTTTGATAAAATTTTCAATCATATCAGAGAAAATGGATAGCATACACCTTTGAAATGTGGCGGGTGCATTGCACAACCCGAAGGGCATACGTCTGTAAGCAAACACACCATAAGGACAGGTGAAAGATGTCTTCTCTTGATCTTCTAGAGCAACCGCTATCTGATTATATCTGTAATAGCCGTCAAGGAAACAATAAAATGAATGTCCCGCTAGTCTCTCCAACATTTGATCTAAGAATGGTAGAGGAAAATGATCTTTTCTTGTAGTGGCATTAAGTCTTCTGTAGTCGACGCACATTCTCCAGTCGGTAATAGTTCTTGTAGGAATCAATTCATTGTTCTCATTGCGTATCACTGTGATTCCACCCTTCTTTGGAACTGTTTGTACCAGACACACCCATGCACTGTCAGAAATTGGATAGATCATACCAGCATCCAAGAGCTTCACGACTTCTTTTCTCACAACTTATTTTATAGTCGGATTCAATCTTCTCTGTGGTTGTCTGACTGGCTTCACATCATTCTCCATCAATATTGTATGAGTGCAAAAAGATGGGTTTATTCCTTTCAAGTCTGTAATAGACCATCCTATAGTTGTTATGTGCTCTCTCAACACTTTCAATAATTTTTCTTCTTCGGCAGTTGACAAATTTATATTGATGATCACCGAGTATGTCTTGCTTTCTCCAAGAAATGCATATTTCAAAGTATGAGGCAACTCTTTCAATTCAACCTTCGGTGCTCCTTGAGTAACATCATCAACCTTCTTTTCTAGCTTTTCAACCACTTGTTCCCCTTCTGTTACTTCAGTTGTATCTTGAACTAGTTCTTCTTCTAATGACTTCAATTCCATCAGTGGTTGGAGTATTTCATCAACTGTTTCTAACATTGCATCTTGAATTACATCAATCTTGAAGCAATCTCCTCCGTCAGTTGGATGTTTCATAGATTCAAGAACATCAATTGTTACAGTTTCTTCATTAACCCGTAACATCAGCTTGCCTTGCTCAACATCAATCATAGCCCTTGCGGTGGCTAAGAAAGGTCTTCCCAACAGTAAGGGGATTTCAGCATCCTCTTCCATGTCTAAGATAACGAAGTCCGCAGGGAAGATGAATTTATCAATCTTTACCAAGACATTTTCAATAACTCCATCTGGCCTCTTGATCGATCTGCCAGCTAACTGTAGTGAAACTTTAGTCGGCTTCAGTTCATGAATACCCAGAGCTTTGCAGATGGATAATGGCATAAGGTTATACTGGCTCCCAAGTCACATAATGCCTTTCCCACATTAATGTTGCCAATTTCTATGGGAATGCTGAAACTTCCAGGATCTTTGAGTTTCGGACGCAACTTCTTCTGTATTATAGCACTGCACTCTTCTGTCAAAGTTACTGTTTCACATTCTTTCAGTTTATGCTTTCTTGATAGAAGATCTTTCATGAACTTTGCGTAATTTTGGCATGTTCTCCAAGGCTTCAGCAAATAGAATATTGATCTGCAGCTTATTGAAAATGTCAAGGAACTTGGAATACTGCTGCTTTTTGATTTCTTCTCTGAACCTCTGTGGATATGAGATCTTTGCATAAGATGAGAGCTCCAATGGCTTTTCTTGCCTTTCTTGAGCCTTCTTTTTCTCCCATTTGAACTCTTTATTTTCAGGAACAGTTTTCTCTGCACCAGATTCTTTGGCAAATTCCTTTTCTTTTTCCTCTTCAGTTGCAGGTTCATCAGCTTTCTTTTTCTCTACTGAAGGCTTGATCACAGGTTCAATCACGATCCCACTTATGGTAACGATAGACTTGCAATGCTCTTTCCCTGGATTTGGAATAGTATTGCCTGGAAAAGTGCCTTGAGCCCTTTCATTGAACTGCCTTGACAATTGACCAATTTGAGTTTCTAGATTCCGGATAGAGGCTTCTTGATTCCGGAATGAGGCCCTTGTCTCTTGCATAAAGGCTGAAGTGTCGTCTCTGAAAGCATTGGAATTCTGAATGTAATCTAACGTGGTCTTGGACAGCTGTGCAAAGGCCTTCTCCCACTCTGATGTGTTTCCTTGTTGTGGAGGTTGCTGTTGCACTGGTATAGGAGGATTCAGCTGATGGTTCGACTTGTAACTAAATCCCGGGTGTTGATTTTGATTCCTCCACCCTTGATTCTGGTTATTCCCGTATTAGTTCCTCCCTGGATTATATGGAGCCTTTTGATCATGCCAGATCCCATTAACTTCAGCATTCTCAGTTGTCCTCATGAAATCACAGTCTTCGGTAGCATGAGTACCTGCACATAAACTACAAGTGACAGGAGGAGTATTAACAGAAGATACTTGAGTGTTAACAGAAGAAACTTGAATTCGGGATTTGAATTGTAATCAGATTTAAATATTAATTCATAGGGGCCGAGAGGAATTCTCTAAGTCAATTTCAAGTATTCTAAAGAATTCAAGTTCTGCTACGGGTGCTGAAAGTATGATGAAAGTTTTAATTATTTAACATCAAATCACAAGTTATTATGAAGTACTTATGGATACATTTGATATCCCTGGTATCCTGCAATTTGAATAAGTACATATTTAATGATTTTTTTTAGTTCTTCTGGTGAAATGAATAGACAGTTACGCAATATTTGGTATGGTAGACATCCCAAATTAATTTGTTTTCTTCGGAAAGTAACTATTTTCATTTTTGCATCAATTTAGTATTCCAATTTATATGTGTAATGTTTTATTTAACACAATTGTGTATAAACAAGAAGTGCCCTTTTGCCAATGACACCCACTTACTCTATTTTGTTTGTGTTAATTATTTCATTCAACTTGAAAACTCACTGGTTTACTGACTAATATTTAGACAACTTGATTCTTAAAATTTTAAATAAATTGCACCCAGATGACATTCTGTATTTTATACATTTTTGAGTCAGAATTTCTGCACCATTTTCTGGTTAGGCGCATTCTAATTTATGATTATGATTCTGGTATTGCTGTAGGGAGATCCTTTGTACACTCATTATCAACGTCTTCATTGTGAACTGGTGCCAGTTGAATTTGGTTGTGCGGAATTCTCTATGGTAAACAATTGTGTTGCATTTATAGTTTCGTTGTAGAAAATACTGGTAATAAATACGGCAAGTGAAAAAAAGAAAAAAGAAAAGTGAAATCTAAATGGTGATAACTGTTGGAAATAATCAAGTGTGAGTGAGTAGTGGTGAAGTAAGTTCCACATAGGCTAGACATAGACCAAGTGATGACCATATAAGTGCAAAAAGACCCATAAACCTACAGCCTTTGATAATCTGTGTAGATACCAAATTCTAACAAATTGGTATCAGAGCTTGGGCTATGGAGGAAAAGAACGAGATGGAAGTGCCACTCTTCCATGGAGATAAGGATGAAGCATTGGATTGGCTTCTCTGTTTGAAGGAACATTTTCGGGAAAAAAAAACCTGGACGGAGGACAAATGGCAGGTAGCCATGAGAAGACTCAAAAAAATATCTCCCCTGTAATTATTTTTCTGAACATATTTTATTCAAAACCAAACTTAATAACAAAACATAACGACCGACTCTTAACCTTTCAAAACTCCTAAACTTAATGCTAACCCTCATGACTCATAAACTCCATAACCGACAAATTCAAACCAAAACTCCTAAGATAAATGTTAACCTTATGACTCATAAACTATCCATAACTGACATCTTTAAACACATTAAAGTAACATTTAACGTTTACTTAACAAAACTCCCCCGTAAACTTAAATGCTTCTTTCTTTCTTCGTGTTGCTTTTGCTTTTCTTCAACTTTCTGATCGCGCCTGTTTTCTTCAATCTTGGCGCGATCAGAAAGTTGAAGAAAAGCATAAGCAACTCGAAAAAAGAAAGAAGAATTCAAAATTTATGGGGGAGTTTTGTTGAGATAAATTTTAAATGCCCGTTTTAGTTTCTTGTGTCAGTTAGAATATTAATGAGTCAGTTATGTCAGTTAGAATATTAATGAGTCAGTTAGAATATTAATGAGTCAGTTATGTGTGGAGTTATTTTGGTCAGTTTTATAGCTTATAAATAGCCTTTGATAGTTTGTATGAAATGTAGATCAAGAGAAAAAGAAAAAGAGCAAGAAAGCAAGAATAGAATAGAAAAGTTTTTTTGTAGATACACAAGTGTGGTTGTCTCTTGCATCTGTGTAGATACCAAATTCTAACAAATTGGTATCAGAGCTTGGGCTATGGAGGAAAAGAACGAGATGGAAGTGCCACTCTTCCATGGAGATAAGGATGAAACATTGGATTGGCTTCTCTGTTTCGATCTCGGATGAAATCTTCAATGATGATGATGAAGATGAGGTAAATTGATGCGGATGAAGAAGAGACCGAGATGGCGGAATCCGAGGTTGCCAACGGCAACGCATCCGCGGAGGAGATTGACGTGTCAGAACGCGTAAGAGACGACTCGGAGAAGAAGACGATGGAGATGACTGCGGCCAAGGGAGCCGAGATAGAAGATGAGGAGAACGAAGGAGCCGAGATAGAAGATGAGAAGCAACGAAATTTAGTAAAATATTTCACAGAAGTTTGTTCTCTTTCTCCACAAGTCCTCACGACATTCTTGAATATTTGTTTCATTTGTTGGTTTTGTATTTGAGCGATCCTACAACAGTGGTATCAGAGCCAACGATCTGGGCTAAGTGTTTGGAAGGCCTCTGCAGAAGGCTAGTGTGACCCTAATATTTGAAGAGAAAAAAGACTTCCGCAGAAGTTGACCTTAGAGTAAGAATGATAATGGGCCTTACACTTGAGGGAGGATGTTGGAAATAATCAAGTGTGAGTGAGTAGTGGTGAAGTAAGTTCCACATAGGCTAGACATAGACCAAGTGATGACCATATAAGTGCAAAAAGACCCATAAACCTACAGCCTTAAGGTTTTGGGTTGAGATGTGGTGTCGGCCCGCTTATTATGGTTTGTCATTTGGCCCATTGGTGGATGTACCCTTTGCAAAGGGTTTCGGGCTCCCTCGTTCCATGCCCAACAATAACATTTCTTCTCATTTGATTTGAAATATCACTTTGTTCCTAAGCTTAAAAGACAGTCTGCAAAATTGCATACTGCAGTCATTCAATTTGACCTGTTGCTAGAGCTTCAATTGTTAATCCTGAAATCAGCTGCCCCATTTTGATGTCATCAGATTGAAATGTATATTAAGAACACTCATGCAGAAACACATTCAAACTATACTGTAGACATTGTTCGAATATTTAGGACATCAAGAGAAGGAGAGGCTGAACGCTTCAGAAAGGTGTGTGCGACCAATGCATTATTAAATAAGGATCTTCTCCCTTAATTTTTCTTCTACTGGGAATATAATTTTGTAATTCAAAGTTTGTTTCCGTTTGTCATATTATGATGTCTATATGGAGACATTTTGAATTGAGTCAACTTCTTTTTGACTTTGTATGGCAGTTTTCTAGTACAAAAAATAGGATGCTTTTGTGGCATGGTTCTTGGCTCACAAACTGGACTGGAATTTTATCTCAAGGTCATTCCTTGTCTCATTTGTTACATTGTCTCTTTGTTTGCATGCATGTTGACATGCAGTGTAGATATTACATTGTTTGATGAAATAATATCTGACTCTGACATGGATGCACCGCCATCAGGTTTGCGCATAGCTCCTCCCGAGGCACCTGTAACTGGCTACATGTTTGGGAAGGGGGTGTACTTCGCTGACATGTTCTCCAAAAGTGCAAATTATTGCTATGCTACTCGTACTGCTACAGATGGGGTGCTCTTTCTATGCGAGGTTGTTTTATGTCTAATAGTAAACATTATTGCATCACTAATAGATCTGCTCTCAGGAATCGACATTGAAACTCCAATCATCAATTTCACCAATTTGTGCTGCATGTCAAACCTTATTAGTTAATTATAACAACCCAAGTTGGAGATTATTTTGCATTATTTTGTTATCCTGTGTTGCTAAAATATGATGCGAATATTACATGCAAGATTCCATTTAGAAAATTAGGTTAGCAATATGTTCATTATTGATCCACATTTTCAGGAAGTTTAATTTATCTTAACTTGTTTGCTATATAATATGTCATTAATGATTCACACCTTCAGGAAGTATGATTTATTTTCTGCAATTTTAGGTTGCATTGGGTGATATGTCTGAGCTTCTAACTAGTAAATATGACGCTGATAGGTTGCCAGAAGGAAAATTGAGGTTTGTTTCTTAAATTTTGTAGTTGTCGTATCTTGGTTAGTTATTTGGCTGTCAGAATATCTTAATATTCCTCATTATTTGTTTTATAATTGAGGGATGGGTTTACATTACGTTATGGGTTTCCATGTTTCTCATTATTAGTGATTGTACATTATTAGTGATTGTATTCATTATAAATACTATTTTGAGCTTCAGAGAATTCTCTAAGCTATTCCAATATTCCTTGCTTCACTGGCATTGGCATGGTGGTTTGTCTAATTCAATGGCTAAATCTAAATTGATCAATTGATTTTTTTTGTCTTTATGTAAAGTCAGAGTCAATATACAATTTTTCGTGGAGCCTGGCTGGCTTGGTGCCTGCCTCCCCATTTGACTCTAATTAAATTTCAGTTCATTGTTGTTAAATTCACCAGTGAATGTTTCATATAGCTTCAAATATTGTGACTTGTATGCTTTACTAGTTGAGTTTATATGCTATGCAACCTCATCTGCAGCACTAAAGGATTAGGAGTAACTGCACCTGATTTTTCAAAACCTCAGGAACTTGAGGACAGGCTCATAGTTCCCCTAGGAAAGCCAAAAAAGAAATTAGGCTTAAAGGTATGCAGTGGAAGTTAAATTTTTATCATCAGCAGGAAAGTTTGTTTATGATTGCCATTACTTCACATTTATTCTGTATCAATTTGTGTTGCAGGGTGATCTATTGTACAATGAGTATATTGTTTATAACGTTGAGCAGATTAGGATGCGGTATATTGTTCACGTAAATTTCAATTTTAAGACTAAAAGTTAGCAGCGAGACTGATTACTTTTGGTATTATAAGCGTGAGAATATTTCATCATTTTTCATTTTCTAGGAGGATCAGTGTAAAGTATTTTTACTGAGAAAAATGAAAAGGCTTGCACTGTGATTAAGAAAAATGAAGGCTAGTGAGTGCTTTCGCACCTTTGTGATAATATTTTAAGCCAAAAGAAACAAATGGAAACTAGAATGAGATAATTAAGGTAAGAAATGTCAATAAAAACACTATAACTAGAGCTGACAAGTAGTTAGAAGTGTTTCCTTTTTGTTTTACTTTTTAAAAAAGGAGCCGTTGAGGGTGGGATTTGCATGGTTTTCAAAATCTCCGTAATACCTGCAAGTGAACCATCAAGTACTGTGTAAAAATATGGTTAATGAAATAAAAATATAGTTTTCGTGTGTTTAAGTGGGCTCAGTTAAATTAAGAAAAATGAAGGCTAGTTAGTGAGTGCTTTCGCATCTTTGTGATAATATTTTAAGCCAAAAGAAACAAATGGAAACTAGAATGAGATAATTAAGGTAAGAAATGTCAATAACACTATAACTTGCACTGACTAGTAGGTAGAAGTGTTTCCTTTTTGTTTTACTTTTTTTTAAAAGGAGCCGTTGAGGGTGGGATTTGCATGGTTTTTCAAAATCACTGTTAATACCTGCAAGTGAACCATCAAGTACTGTGTAAAAAAATGACTTGAAATAAAAATATAGTTTTCGCGTGTTTAAGTGGGCTAATTTAAATTAATATGTGGGCATGTGTGCATTGTTGTAAAAGCGATGAAAACAGGGTTTAATTCTGTTTCTCTTGGTCCATATAGGTAACCAAAAAGGATAACCGTAAACTACAAATGTAATTGCTGTAAACTATATAGATAATGGGTAAAATTAATATATAAGATAGTGTATCTTATTTTGTGTAACAACCCGTTGTACACCGGTATTGTTAACATTAATTATGATATTAAGCCCAGTTACAATCACAGCAATTCTTTTTATAAAAATGCGAATAAACTTTTTCCGATTATTACGCGAGAATTTAAAACATAAAAAACGTAATAATTAAAAGCTGTGACCGTAACCGTAAACTCTTACCGAAGACTTATTTAAACTATTTTTATAACTTACTTTACTTATTATAAGTCACAAAGGGGTTCCCATAAACTCACTTAGTCAATTTCCAAACTTTGCGTTTTTACCGATTCGGACATGGTTCACTCTTAATTTTTCTGCGATCACACCGCTCGCAACCAAACCTTCTTCTCAGATTATATCTTTGTCTTACTTAATTCCCTTTTTAACAAGCTATCATACGCTCAATTCGGAGCTCATTTGCTCCGGTTATCACCGTTTGAAGTTAGATAAGCAAATAGCCAACCAACCCCAAAACAGCTCCAAACCACTCACATTACTCGAATTACTGCACCCTCTCCACTTATCCATTTGCTCTCAAATTTTTATCCTACAAACTAGACATCTCAAACTTCATTTTGATATATTACACGCTTAACTTGACTGAGAAACGAAGCGGGAATTAATTTCCCAAATCAGGTCCAGAACTGCCTCAGATACAGTGGCACATGAGCAGTCCGCGTTTATCCATTTTTTTCAGGCCGAAGATCAACCCAGATTTTTCCCAATTTTTGACACAAGATAGATTAAATCTCAACCTTCAAAATGGCGTATGGCACGTCCCTATTGGACCTCTATGGAGGGAGATATGCTCTCCCGAAGTTCGCCTAAAATCTGCCAATTCTACATAAAATTCGCCAGAGTTTCCTTTGTTTTTCCAACAATCCCAAATTTGTGAAAGATCATTTAAGCCTCAAATGTACCTAATAATCACATGATAATACAGTAATAATCCAATGGGTGGCACACACAAGGACCAACAACGCCTTGGAGCACTTACAACCTAATCCAGTTTATAGTTATTAGGCATATAGTTCATATTAATCATCCTTATGTAGTTGCAACCACTAACACCTTTTTCATGCATATTTTCATCATACATGTAATCATACCCTAAAATAGGCCTAAGGCCCTTCCATCATAAATAGCCATGCATTAAATATGATTACAATATTGTTTTACAACTTACAACTTGGAACTTAAACCTTAACTTACATTCTTCCAATATTACAACTTAAATTCAAATGACAACATAACCAAATACTCAAACAATAGAGAAAGAAGAAAGCAAGTATAGAAGAGAACTTCATACTTTGAATGTTTAAGAAACTGAATCAATGAGAATACAGAACTCAAAGGTCCATATCAGTATATATACAGCAACTAATAAACGAGTAAGAAACAAAAGAACTCTAACTAACTACATGACACGTGGACAATGTAACTAACTGTAAGACACGTAGCTTCAATGGTGACACGACGTAGATAACAAACTGAGTCTCATCACCCCCCCTCAAGTTGGAAGGTGAATATCATGAAACCCCAACTTGACCAGAAAGTCATGGAAAGATGCAGGGTGTAAAGCCTTCGTAAATACATCAGCCAGCTACTGTGTGGTCGAGACAGGTAGAAGATGTATCAAGCCAGCAGCAATCTTCTCCCTTGTAACATGACAATCCAATTCAATATGCTTGCTGCGCTCATGGAATGAGGGATTGTGTGCTAAGTGGATGGCTGCTTGGTTGTCACAATATACCATGGCAGGTTGTGTAATTGGAACTTGCAAGTCATGAAGTAAATACGTGAGCCATTGGATTTCACATGTAGCAGCAGCAAGGGCTCGATATTCTGACTCAGCAGATGAACAACTCACAGTTGTCTGTTTCTTGGACTTCCAAGACACAAGAGAAGAACCAAGAAAAACGCAAAAACCTGTGAAGGATCGTCTAGTATCAGGGCATGTTGCCCAATCTGCATCAGAGAATGCAGAAACAACTAGCTGATTAACAGAGGAAAAGAACAATCCTTTACCTGGGGAACCCTTCAAGTATCTAAGAACTCTACAAGCTGCATCAAAGTGTGTTTGCATGGGGTTTGCCACAAATTGGCTTAATTGTTGAACAACAAAGGCAATATCAGGCCTTGTATTAGTGAGATAAAGAAGTCTCCCTACCAGTCTTCGATACTTTGTTGGTTCAGAAAAGACCGATCCTTGATTTTGGCTGAGGCGAAGACCAGGTTGCATGGGAGTGGAGACTGGTTTTGTGCCAAGTAATCTACTGTCTTGCAATAGTTCTAGAATATACTTTCGTTGATTGAGAACTAGACCTTTACTGGAACGGGCTATTTCAAGGCCAAGGAAAAATTTTAATGGCCCAAGATCTTTGATCTGAAACAAAAGATGTAAATGACTTTTAACCATACTTATTTCATCAAAATCATTTCCTCCCAGAACCATATCGTCCACATAAACCAGAAGAGCAGTAAATGATTTCCCATTGGCTTTGGTGAAAAGAGAGTGGTCAGAGGAAGATTGTGAGTACCCAAGAGAGCAAAGTTCCATTGTTAAGCGAGCATTCCACTGCCTACTTGCTTGCTTAAGCCCATATAAGGACTTTCTTAATCTGCATACTTTCTGTTTGCCATCAACTGCAACACCTTGTGGAATGGACATGTAGACTTCCTCGGATAGATCCCCATGTAAGAATGCATTGTTTATGTCTAGCTGCTCCAAGTGCCACTGACGAGCCACAGCTACTGAAAGCAGTAATCGAATTGTAGTAAGCTTTGCAACGGGTGAAAAAGTCTCAAAGTAATCCACTCCTTCCATTTGGTTGTATCCCTTTGCCACTAGACGAGCCTTATAGCGGGCAATGGTTCCATCTTGGTTGTGTTTTATTTTATAAACCCATTTGGAACCAATAGGACGTTTCCCTTTGGGCAAATCAACAATATCCCAGGTCTTGTTGCGATTGAGTGCTTCTAGCTCTTCATTCATGGAAGTTATCCATTCAGGAAATTGAGTTGCCTGCTTGTAAGTTGTTGGCTCAATAAAAGAGCTAATGTTGTGACAGAATGAGGAATACTCCATGGAGCATTTTGCATATGAGACAACAGATGATAATGGGTGATTAGTAGATGATAGACTAGGTAGCACATCAGCAGAAGAATAATTGCAATGAAAATTAGATAAGTACTTGGGTGGACTTCTTACCCGTGTGGAGCGTCTGATATGTGAATTATCTGGTACAGAAATATTGGCAGTATTCTCAGTCTGTGAAGAAACAAACTGAGTCTCATCATTTGAGCTTTCAATGAAAGTTGTAGTTTCGGATGTGTCTAGCCCCTGTGTAACAGGTGGAGACTGTACAGTGGGAATATCATAAAAAGAAGATGCACATTGATCAGTGGGCCATGGATCAACATTATCTGATGGTGATGTATCCATGAAAGGAAAGTGATCCTCATAGAAAATTACATTTCGAGAAACAAAAATCTGTTTAGAGGATATATCATACAAAACATATCCTTTGGTTCCATCCTTGTGACCAATATAAACACATTTTCTTGCCCTGGGATCAAATTTCAAACGTCCTGCCATAATTGTGGATGCAAAAGCAAGACAACCAAAAGCCTTAAGATGTATGATGACTGGTGGAGTATTATGCAATAGCTCATATGGTGACTTATTGTTCAGTTTTGGTGTACTAACTCGATTGATCAAGTGTATGGCATGAATAATACAATAACTCCATAAGCTGATAGGGAGTTTTCCTTGGAAGAGAAGAGCCCTGGCAGTGTTGAGCAAGTGTTGATGTTTTCTCTCAACAATTCCATTTTGTTGAGGTGTCTCTATGCAAGAAGTTTGATGAACAATGCCCTTTTGTCTAAAAAATTCTGTCATTAGAAATTCATGCCCATTATCACTTCGAAAGACTTTAATGGTTTTATGAAATTGATTTTCAATTAGAGCAACAAAAGATGAAATATGATTTCTGACTTCAGACTTTGACTTCATAAGAATACCCCATGTATATCTTGTGCAATCATCAACAATAGTTAGAAGAAATCGATGACCATGAATAGAGGGTACAGAATAAGGCCCCCAAATATCAATATGTATGAGATCAAAAGCATTTTTGGAAACAGTGGAGCTTAAAGCAAAAGAAAGTTTCTTTTGTTTAGCCATGTGGCAGATATCACATGGAGTATCTAGATGTTTACAAGTAATAAATGGGTACTGTAACATCATGGTCTTTATTACAGGTTTGGAGCAATGGCCCAAACGAAAATGCCATATATCATTGGCATGAGACTATAAATTGAAACTACTGTTATCAGAAAAATTCAATTGTTTTGTTGTGTCAGCATTCTTCACAGCATTGATTGGTCCATCTTGGTGCATCACATACAATCCTCTCACCAGATTAGCAGAACCAATCATCTCCATGGATTGTTGATATTAAATGAGGCAATCTCGAAGCTGAAATGTCACATGACAATCAGTTTCAGAAATCAGTTTATGCACTGATATTAAGTTGACGCCAAATTCTCTTACATACAGAACATCTGTCAACGTAAGTGTTTTAGAAATATCTACTGTACAAGACATATTAGAGTAGACCCGTGTTCCATTGGGCAAGGATATGGCAATTGGCTCAATATACTTGATAGAAGATAAATTGGCAGAGTTAAAAGTGATATGATCAGTGGCTCCTGTGTCTAGGACCCACTGATTTGATGACTTACTTGCTTCAGAAGATTGACTATCGACATTTAGTACATTAGTATGAACCATATTGCTGACATGAGGAGAGGATGGAGGCAAAGCATGTTGCACTTTCATTGTTTGTTGTATCATCTCCATAATGGTGTGATACTGACTTTTAGTGAAATTTTCTTTTGTGTCAGCTTCCCTTGAGTTGTCAACCTGATTGAACTCTTCACTTACAACTGCATTGATCTTATGCATAGGGTTCCTTTGCTTAAACCCAGGAGGATAGCCATGCTTCTCGAAACATGTCTCCACTGTGTGGCTAGTCTTCCCACAATAAGTACAGAGTCTAGATCCTCTTCCACGTGCAGGATTGAATCCCCTTCCCCTTCCACGAGTCTGTCCACGTCCTCTTTCTGGAACTTGTTCAGCAGAATTAAAGAAAATTCTTGAATTGTCATGATGAATTGGACCAGAACTTTCAATCTGCAACTGTCGTTCCTGTTGTGCAACTAAGGAAAAAACTCGGTTAACTGAAGGAAGAGGATCCATGAGCATAATTTGGGACCTCACATGAGAAAATTGATCATTGAGTCCCTTGAGAAAACGAATTGAATAGTCTCTTTCCTTACTGTTCTTAACCTCCACTGCAATTGAACAGCATGGACGAACACATTTACAAGTAGGAGTGGGTTGGAGTGCTTCCAATTCATCCCAAAGAATCTTGAGTCTAGTAAAATAATCAGAGATTGAGCTATCTCCTTGATGTAAACGATAAATGTCATCCTGTATATCTGATATTCTGAAAATATCAGATTGAGAAAATCTCTCCTTGAGATCTCTCCATACATCATATGCCTTATCCATCCACAAAATGGATTGAGATATAGAACTTGTAATTGAACGATGCAGCCACGAAAGGACCATAGTATTGCATCTCTCCCAAACTGGAAAACGTGGATCTGTTGTGTCTGGTGTCAAAATTGTACCATTGACAAATGATACCTTATTCTTTGAAATTAGAGCCATGGTCATAGCCCTCGCCCATCCATGGTAGTTCTTCCCGTTCATCAGATTTGAAATAGGGACTACATGGATCTAACAGATCAAGAAGACTAGTTTTCATAGGATTACCTTCCCTATGTGAAGGAGTGCTTTCTGCTTCTTTCTCCATTGCAAGTGCAGAACTCTGAATCACCTTCTTGCTTACAGAAAGAGAAAAACGAACAGATCTAACAGAATCGATTCGATTTGCATGTGAAGAAAAGAAAAACACAAGAAATCAAATAGATCTAACAGCAGCAAAGTCAAATCGATATGCATGCGGAGTAGAAGAAAAGGAATCGAATTGAAGGCGCATATCAGAGCTCTGCGAAGAGCTCTGATACCATCAAACAATAGAGAAAGAAGAAAGCAAGTATAGAAGAGAACTTCATACTTTGAATGTTTAAGAAACTGAATAAATGAGAATACAGAACTCAAAGGTCCATATCAGTATATATACAGCAACTAATAAACGAGTAAGAAACAAAAGAACTCTAACTAACTACATGACACGTGGACAATGTAACTAACTGTAAGACACGTAGCTTCAATGGTGACACGACGTAGATAACAAATTGAGTCTCATCAAATACATAACTACTAGACTTAGGCAAAATGGCATGAACAAATATGCTAATAAAGCTCATACCACATACATATGAGATGTTCATGCCCTAAGTCTAGTCTCGGCCACACGGCCAACTGATGAGGACATAGGAGGTGGTGGCATGACCAAGACAACAAACTTGGAGGACATACAAGGCCTTGGAGGTCCAATGACAAGAGCAAAAGATAAAAAGGCTAAAGAGGCTCTAAATCTCTTGGTGACCACTTTACTTGAGACAAGCCCAAGCCTAAAGGAAGAAGAGCCCAAAATGATACACTTAATTTTATTGAATACTTTGAAGAATAAGCCTCAATGGATATGCATGAAGGCTTTATTTTTACTTGGCCCAAATTCTGCACTTAATTTTATTTTTCTTATATTCAGTTAAACTTTTGTAATAAGGCTTATTGGGCTGGATTATTGGGCTTACTATTTTCTTTTATGTGTAAGTACTTTTAGGTTAAACTCAATATGGATGTTGCCCACTATATAAGGGAACACCATAGCTTTTGAAGGGAATTCAGAATAAAAAAGATAACCTTTTTTTGGTGAGAGACTAGCTTCTCTAGGGTTCTTTTGAGAATCTCAGAACTTATCAAGGGTGCTAATCCTTGTGGCGTTCATAGGCTTATCATTCTTTGGATTGTGGCGCCTTCCAGTTATCATTTCTTGATTGTGTTCACAAATTCTTGTATCAAACCCTATCACCCAAACCTTCAATTTTCGTCCAAAATAGTCTCGATTCATATCTCCTGATATACGTGTCGATTTTCGGTGATTCTTGAGTCAAAGTCGCGATTCAGAAAGAGATCTTTCACCTCGATTTGGAAACGTCCGATTCCGAGGTCTGTAGCGTGAGATACGCTCTTTTCTTAACAGGTCGTGTTGGTGGATGAATTTGGGGTTAGAATTTCCATTCCTAGCAGATCCATTCCTCCATTCCTATTGGGGATCATATCACCAACAAAATGCAAAATGTGAAACACTCCACTGCTCACTCTGCAGGCCTTTTGCCCGCTGCTCCGGCTCCACTGCTACCTCCTGAAATAAATGCTCCGAGACGGGGTGAGATATACGAATATATCTCAGTAACCAAGAGGTTCTGGAGAAAACTCCACCCAATGGTTCACTTCGATGCATATCAATAGAATAAAACAACCACTTTGAAAACGGGATATAGCAAGGGATTTAGAGAAACTGGGGAAATATCTGAATATAAAATACGACGCTGCGGGATGGTAGCTACCTATGCCACGCACGCCCTGGCATATATAAACCTATGGGTCCACCCGAGGTGTGATCAAATCACTACCACCCCGGTACCCATTCCATCGGGTCCACCCAAGGTGTGATTAAATCACTACCACCCCGGTACCCATTCCATCGGGTATAATCCAAGGTGTGATCATATCACTACCACCAAGGTACCCATTCCATCGGGTATAATCCAAGGTGTGATCAGATCACTACCACCAAGGTACCCCCACCATCCATAACACCTGAGACATTCCTAGTGTGCTCCTATCCGGATCACACACTATGACCCACGGTCAACTGAAACTCCCTCTCAGAGACCTATCCAGCGGAAGTCTGAAACTGCTCGAAGGCTAATAAAACTGTCTACTGGCCAGAGACTCGGTACATAAGTACCCACTGTAATAATGCATGCATGCTCATGTTGTTCTACACTACTCATATACACTTCCTACCGTTGCCATCAACTGGCAAGGTGGAACAGAAAAGGGGAACAAGCCCCAGTACCAAGAGGTTACCTAAAATATTGTTTTCACAAGCTCCGCAGCAGCTTATCCCTCAACTTGGTACACAGCAGAATGCCTACACAGAGGACATTCCCAATCACTTATAATTCAAACAATACATGCTAATTTACAATTATACATGCATTGAACCAATTACTTACCTCAATCCACTTGGTCCAGGACCAAGGGAAACTCCCAGATTCAAGTTTCGGGATTCAAGTCAACGTATGGCAACCTATACAATCACGTACATCCATCAGTACGCGTCAAATAGCATCAAAACGCAAAATCACGAAATCACCTCACCCACACTTGGTAGGTTAGGCCATCCTAGGCTTATTTTCAAATTTATTTTTCTTATTTTTCTTTCTCATTTTATTACGCCTCAATAGGTTGCCAAGAGGCCAGTTCAAGTGCCGTTTCACCATTTTCGCACCGAATTACATCGGAAAGCGAAAACCGCAAAATTCCTCCCCACCCCCTTGGTGGTTCGGCCTTGGTAGTGTTAAATTAGGATTTATTTTTCTAAATTTTCTTTCTCATTTTATAACGCTTCCTTAGGTTGCTTAGAGGCTAGTTCAATCGTCGTTTTTCCGTTTTGCGACATTTACGCATCGTTTTGCGAAATATTTCACTCTAGGTTCTTTATGCCAACTAAGCCACTTATTATTTTTGCATTGATTCTTCCACTTGCCAATCACCACACAACCCCTCTAATTACCTTTTTAACACATAATTCATCACTCAAACAATTTCCAACAATATCAATTCCATAATTTTCCTTTAAAGGCCAAATTGCAACCTATGGCAATTCTAGGATTTTCATTCACTTTTAGTCACTCCACATCTCACACAACCTATTATATCACCATTTTATCATACCACAATTCATCAAACAAAGTCTCAACACCAAAATTCACAAGTCCAAAGTCATGCTCACCAAATTTTTCTAAGTTAAATTCATCAATTTTCACCAATAAATTTCATCGCATTTCTAGCTCTAATACATCATTCTAACACATTATCATCTAATACACATTTTCAAATTGAGCTCTCTAACACAACACATCATACAATCAAAGCTTTAGGTCACAAAATCAATTCATCACAATCAACCGTTTAAAATGCAAGAACACTCACCCAAATGGAAGGTACAAGGCTCCTCCTAAACATACTCCACCATTGGAGCACTTAGAAGCTCCATGAACACAAATCTCCAACTATGAGCCACGGCCTTGAGGAGGGATTTTCGCGAAATATAGCTGGATTCAAGGCTTGCCACTAGTGCCAATGTGTTTAGAAGGTGTTTTCCAAAAAATTTCAACTCAAGAATCACTTGATTTGGTTAAGAAATAATGGAGTTATGGAGAAATTAAAATTTGAAGTGAAATTTTCCATGGGAGAAAAAGGGCTGCGGGTTTGAGGGCTGAAGGGGAGTGGAGGAGGTGATGAATAGTGTAGTGATGATGTGTCTTAAGTGAATTTTAAGTGGGGTGGGTCCCACGCCACCTCTCGCGATTCAAAACGCGTATGAACTCTCACTAAACGTCCGTAATTTCAAAACCTATATAGAAACTCTAATTTTTAGCATTAACTATTCTCCTTTAATTATGCTTGATCAGATGAATTCAGAGTCCTCCATTCGTTCGGAGAAAACACTGTTTTAAACTATTGCCCGCGCCGTTGGCACGCTTCCCCAAAATGACTTACTTTCATCAGATTTTATCAACAATCATATTTCCTAACTCAATAGACCATTTATAACTCATATTTGAAACCTAGAGCTCAAAACCCAATCGACACGTTTTACGGTGATATCGTATCGCGGTATTTTTACCCGCGAAAAACACTATTCACAGATTTTTCTGAAACTTGCCTGTCCACTCAATTTTTCGTTCTGAACCCATTTCCAGGGTTATTTTTACCATCTGAGACCTTCTACTCAATCTTTATCTTCCTAGGGTTGCGTGTTGGCTAATTACCGTTTTGCCCTTTCTTTGTATTTTGGCCTAATCTTTAGGATTTTCACTAATCCATCACTTGATTGCTCACTTAATATTTTAATTACTTGACATAAAATTGTGAGGTGTTATATTCACCCCAACTTTTTAGAATTTTGTCCGCAAAATTAAATCATACTCATCCGCTAACTCAGGATACAATCGGAGAATCTCATCCTCCCGCTCCCAAGTAGCATCCTCAAGTGTGTATCTCTACCATATTACTTTTATCACAAGCATGATCTCCTTTTTATGATACTCATTATCCTTTGATCCTTCACAATTACTTGTCTCTCATGGTTCTGTGACCTTTTAATTCACAATACTTTAAACTTTCTCTGGTTTACCGTTTCAGTTCCGCTGATTTTTTTAGGTAATAACATAGCCATATTACAGATTTATTGGTATCAATTCACCTCATTCTCATCTCTATCTATCTCTCTGACCCAATGTCATTCTCAAAGGCATCTAATCGTTTTCATAACAAGCCCCAATCGTTCTCATGTATACTAACTAGTTATTCCTGGAGTATTTCCAACTCTCACTTTCTTTAGTACTTGACTCTTTTCGTTGTCCGTGTTGTTACAACAATACCCCACATCTCTTTTATACCAGTCT